TAAATATGTATATATGTATGTATATATATATATATATATATTCGTAATGCGTAAATCGTAAATCGTAATTAGTATTATTTATATGCATCCCTTTTAAATGTTGAATTGTGGAAGAAAAGAATTGCTTAAATACATTTTATTATTAAGTCTTAGCCCAAAATGGATAAACGCTACAATTTGCTTTGTTTTTGCTATTCTGAATATCTATAAAAGCGCCGCAGAGCTGGGCAACAATTTGGTATTTTTGTGATATTTTCTTAGTATTGCATTGCTATTTTTTCGGTAGTTTGTGGGTATTTTCGGTACTATCTGTTATAGAATTTGTATTTCGATGAGATATAGATTTTCTTCTGTTTGGTGGTTGGTGTTTGGTGGTAGACTGTGTGATGAAAATACTTAATCAGAGGCGAATTTGATATGTTTATTTTTTTTTTTTTTTTTGTTTTTTTTTTTTCTTGTTGACAAATCGATGTTGTGTGATGTAAACAACAGTTAATTATAACATTGTATATAGTTAAAGTCAAGTTTAAATAGAATATAAGCTAAGATTCTCGATTTAGATACCTCTTGATTCAATGTTCGAATTAAAAAGGAGATTGAGATTGATAGAGAGAGGAGACTAGAATTATCTATAATTAATTTGCTTGGAATATATATAGTTGTGTTATYATATTATTATATTAGTAAAGTAAAAGTTGTTTATTTTTATGTATTTTATGCATTAGTTTAATTATTATTGAAAGAATTTTGTATTAATTTATTCATTGCAAATTTGTTTAGCTGTGCGTTCGGAGCAAATGGCGTTTTGATATATCCCATATATCGTTGCAGAGAGTTGGAGCAAAAATCTTGAGCGTGATCGCAACGCTCACTCGTAGCTCAAGGACACCGTGGATTTGGGCGTGGGCAATGGCGATGTCTCCTCCTCATCGTCATTCTCCTGCGAGTCCTCCGGCTCACCGAGGGCGTGGACAAACTCATAGAAATCGATGCGTCCATCACCATCGACATCCACCTCCTTGATCATGTCCTCAACTGCATGGAAAAACAGGGAGTAAAGCAATACGGTATAGACTACAGGTTACGATATAAGATAGGAATTTTCTATAGAGCTAGAGGATATATATGGAAATGACTTGTATGGTCTTATCAGCAGATGGTGCTACGAATATACATATATATATGTGTATACTCACTGTCTTCCTCGTCGAGATCCTCGCCCAGGCACTGCAGCACGGCACGCAAATCGGAGGCGGTTATATAGCCACGATTGTGCTTGTCAAAGACACGAAAGGCGTCGCGCAGCTCGCGCTCCTCTTGGTCGGCTGAGGACAGGCCCGACTTGTCCTCGTATGTCATGTTCGACAGAATGTCGACGAACTCCTCGAAGCTCACATTGCCATCGCCTGCGGAGTCACAGAAATAGAAAGAGACAGAGACACATATAGAAAGAGAGAAGGAGAGAGAGAACGGGCCTACACACCATCCACATCAATTTCCTGCAGCATCTCTTGCAGCTCCTCGACACGCGCGAAC